CGTGTGTTGTTGAAGACTGTATGTTGCTATCTATAGTGTTTTTTTTGGGGTTTTTTTTTTGGCTATTTTCATCATCATTGTGCATTTAAGTCAGAGTCGTAATAAATTATTTTCACCAGTATCAAATATTTTTATGTAAAAAATCACATCAATGTTCTAAAAGTATATTATTGTGAATACAAATTGTTTTGCAGTCTCCTCTGGATATGTGAAAGAATCCATATTTTCATTAATTGTGTCCTTTTGAATTTTAGCTCTTAGCTGTCTTTAATGGCCAGAAAAACAGAACAAGAGGTTTTGAATATCATAAAAATATATTTACATTCATTTACAATTTTAATTATGTTAATAGATTCATTTATTTCAAACAAAATAACGACCTTTCAGATTGTCCAGAAATCACTTTTGTTGTGTACCTTATACTCTCGAGATTCATTTTTGTTCACCAAACATTAGGGAACGACCATTTAACTTCAAGGAGGAGGGGGGGGGGGGTATGGTTTTTTCCTAAAAAAATATTCTGATCCCCAATTTGATGAAAAAAATAATGTGGTCAAGCAGATGACAAAAAAAAAATTCTGAATCCAGATTTTCCCCATACCTTATAGTGTTAAATTTTGAAAAAAATAGTTTGATTGATAGCGTCTCAAAAAACAAATTCTGACTCAGACAAAAAACAATACCCCCCCCCCCCTTTTTGAAGTTAAATGATTGTTCCCTTATCGATATAATGAGATAATGTAGACGTTTGAAGACTAGGATTGCCATCCATATATGTTATTTTAACCTTGCCATGTTCTCGAGATTTTCGCTTTCTACAAAGTTTCTATTCACACAAACACACATACAAATTAGATCTCAAGATGTCACGTGTTGTTGGCAACTTTTGGTTGGATTATGATAGTTCTTTTTCACAATCTATGATAAGTTACTGACGACATCTACATTTCTGGATGACGACTACAACACGTTTATACAGTATTCCCCTCAACTGCTCACTCATTAAAATGTACACTGCAAAGTTTAGCAAAAATCCTCTCAATAAACAAAATTTTGTTAATTCTAAGATTAATGATAAATTTTTGTGTACATGTCCCAATGTTCGATATGTTTCTGGTACACTAAATGCAATTGCATCCAATAACCAACTAAAAATATGTAAAAAGTCCGAAATTATAAATATTATGCCAATTATTATAACCGTCATTGCAGATCTTCGATATTTTGACCAAACCACTGACGAGTCAGTCTGCTGATGACACATACTATGACGTTTGAGTTTGCATGTGATGTAGACGACAAATGTTAGTACAACGACAACGGCTAAGCAGTAAATGACTGAAACTGTCCATAAATAATATTCCAAAATTTTGTTATGATTGTGGTGCCCATCTATATCTTGTAGACAAAGACCGTTATTATTCCGTAATGTTTTGCGGCTACCATGTATCAAGGGTATAAAAAATATTTGTGTAAATACCATTATTGAAATCGCAAAAAATGGTCCAGAATTTATTTTGAAGATGAACTTTACTCCATACAGGGAACATAAATGATAGGGTCTTTTGAATGCACAAGGCTGTAGTAGTTAACGCTGACATGAAATTGAAAGCCGCACCTTGAATAAAAAAAAATTTAATACAATGCAGTTTGGGTAATCTAAGTACCATCCCTTAACATACGTTTTGATGAAATAGTCCGCATAAAACATATAAGCTATCAACTCTGGTAGTATCCTCGTAGTAGCTGTTAAAGTGTCGGATATTGCAAGAAATGATAGTAAAATTGTGACCGGAGAACGATTTTGTTTCTTCAGAAACACGGACAATACACCTATGTTTACTACGACTAATATTCCTGTGAAAGCAGTTGCTATGTAAACAAAGGAGGGTGAACTAACGTGTGCAGCAAATAAATAGCCGGTAAAAAATCGAAACCTGACAAGGCACTGCTTTTCTAACGAAAAATTATTAATATCCGAGGCTGATATGAGGTCATTAAGGCTATTTTTCAGTGTAAATTGATAAAAATGGTCCAAACAATCAAGATTCTTAAATTCAGCAAAAATTGAAGGTCGGCTATCTGACCATGATGATGAAATCACTAGTAACTGACCGGTAATATATGCTTCGTATAACGTGTGAAATTCAATTTGTATGTTGTACTCATTCATAAAGCGAATAGTAGTAGCGCAGCTATCAAATCTCATGAAGAATCTATTAATATCTGTATTCGTAACTGGGACCTTTGAAACCATGGCTTCAGAAAATAACTTCATGCATTTGTCTTCTTTATCCGGGTAAAAATATATGTTAATACCGGAAATGAAAGGAATTGCAGCCTTTTCTTCGTATGTTAGGTTATACACTTCTGAAGGGTCATTAAAAAGTTCTCGAAGCTGTTCATTTTTGCAAGGAATCTTGTACCGGTACGAATAATCGTAATTTTCATGATCCTTATAATATGTATAATCCGAGCAACTGGTTGGACTGCGGCAGTTTTTGTCTTTTCTATCAACCTTGAAGACACCATTTCTACACATGCTGCACGTTTGGCAACAGTTGAAATTATCGTTTTCATGAAATTCGGATTCTTTGTTTTCTGAAGAATTTCGAAGGTATTTGTTATTTAAAACTCTAATTATTCGTTTTTGAACCAGTTCATTACTTTTTAGCATGGTCAATTCTATAGTATGTGGATAATCTGTACTATTACATAAATCCTTCAATGTATGAGACGAATTGATCCCTAAGGCCACGTTTAAGAAGACGAGGAACACTATACCGTAATTGTTCATCTTTGGTGAAAACGAACGCTGCATTTCCATTATTTAGTTAAACCTTATTAAAACGTTTTAACACGATTTGCGCATGCGCATAATATGTACGACTCATCTCCACTTCCTAAAATTTGATGTTTATAGGAAGTGTGATATATCAATGGGAATCAAAAACTGATTAATGAAAAGTAAATAAATAATTTCAATTGAGGAAATTGTTTAACTCCATTGTTATTTCTTTATCGTGCGGAAACTGAGTGTCCTCATTTAATACAAACAATACTGTGACCAGCAAGAACCGGACATTAGCAATCATATTCAATTCAAACTTTTATGTTTAAATGACTTTGACAGTTTGTGAAACGAACACACGCAAATAAAAACAAGACACGTAGTACACCATGACAAGTTATAGAACAAGTTAGCATTTTGTTCCAGTAAAACGAATTTTTATCCGGTAGGGGACTATGTATTGCCATGCAATACTCTCAGAATGCTTGTATTAATCTTAAGATCTGTATACTTTTTGGTGATGATTTAAAATTTTATGTTTGAGTTATTGAGTATTTTGTAAAAAAAAGGGGGAGGGGTTTTTCACATGTCGCACCGTATCTCAAAAACGATTTTATGATTATTGCTTAAAATTTTACACACTTTTTAGTTATATTAATCTAAAGATCTGTATACTTTTTGGTTTTGATTCAAAATTTTATTTCAGAGATATTGAGTTTTTTGTAAAAAAAGGGGGGTTTTCGCAGGTTGCGCCGTATGTCAGAAACTATTTATGATTATTGCATAAAAATTCACACACAATACGACGGGCGTATCATGCGCTCATGGCGCAGCTGTTTATTTTATTAATTGTTACAGTTTATCTGACCAATATCTTCTAAAGTTTTGAATCAGCGGTTTTGCTGAAGTTTCTATTGTTTCTGTTGAATTTGTTCACAACCTTTATAGACATGGGACAATTTAGTGCTTGAAATATATTGTATACACACCTGTCTATTATTGAAGACTTAGTTGCTATGTTGATATAAATTATTTTGGGTTGCTGTCTCATCTATGTATACCCCAGGATTTCCTTTTTTCATCTTAATGGTTGAAAGATTTGTTTGAAGCAATTTAAAAAAATAAAATTGTGTACTTGTTATATAATGGCATGTCTGTTGGCTTTTAAAGTAAATACAAGATAGAAAAGTCTCAATGTACAAGCCATTTTATCATTTTTAAGCAGATTGTCACAAATATTATTTTTATATTCATCAACCAATCATATATAAATAAGCATGAATTTATTTTAGTTGCTATTAGAGATTATGTGTTTAGTCATTTAAAGCATTTTTGATTTGCTAAGATTGTTGAATATCTGTATGCTGAATATTTTTTTAAACCAAGGCAAGATCTTTTTTGCATAGTTTTTATCTGTTTGCATAACTGGTCAGTTAAACACTTATGTAATTTGTATATACTTTTATTAGTGTTAGGTTTTGTGAAATTACAATTCAAAATTCTTTTACATGAATCTAGTAAGTTGTGTATGGGGCAGGTGTTTTTATGGGCATATCTTCTTTCAGTCAGTTTCACGGTGAACAGAAATATCGTTTACCTTGAAATCAAAATTTATTTAGTCACATTTTATTGGTTTATAAAGTTTTTGTGATTTCTAACAGTAAATTATTTCAAATAACAACCATGAAAGTTACACTTGAGAATGACAGGATTGAACTCCATATGAACCAGATAGATTTTTTTTGATTATTTTCATATTCTGAAATAATAGATACACATGCAAATGTATGTATAAAATTTTGAGATAAAGAAAATATTTATACAAATTTCTAAATAAAAAACTGAATTATTAAACATTTAAATGGCTATTACATCAATTATTCCTTAAAAATCTAATAATGGCATAGTTTTATTATGAAAGGTTGTAGGGTTATATATTAATTGTATAATATCGATTTTTTGTGCTATATTATGTATATATATGTGTAAGTATTGTTTGGAATAAAAAAGAGGCATTGTGAAAAGAGTGCAAAATCAGAATTGTTCTATTTAAAACAGGGAGTATAGTATTAAATTTTTGTGCAATAATTATTTTGGCGTTTTTTGTTCGTTTGTTGTTTTGTTTATTTTGCACTTGTTTTTCATGTAAATGGGTATTTTCACCATTTTTTTTGGTGAAAAAATAAAAAAAAAAGTGCAAATTTCAGACCTTAAAATTATGTCCCTTGAAACCAGATGTTAATTTTATTTGTCCATGCACATATCTACCCTTACAACTCTTTACACATACATTATACCCAGACATAGCAATGTGAAATATTGACCACTTAAATTAATGGTTCATATATACCTACAAATGATTTATAAATCCACAGTACATTATATACCCACTTGCAAACAATGTTTTTGAAGGATATATAGGAAACACCCCTTCAATATTGTACATTTTTATGCCCACCTTATGTTTTTCTGTCTGTGTGTCCGTTCGTCTGTCTGTCCCGCTTCAGGTTAAAATTTTTGGTCAAGGTAGTTTTTGATGAAGTTGAAGTCCAATCAACTTAGTACACATGTTTCCTATGATATGATCTTTCAAATTTTAATGCCAAATTAGAGTTTTGACCCCAATTTCACGGTCCACTGAACATAGAAAATGATAGTGAGAGTGGGGCATCCGTGTACTATGGACACATTCTCGTTCTATCCTCTTACCAAATATACTTGCAATATATGATATTCTGCGACTCTGTACAGACATTGTTTATGTATCATATGGTCATCATATCATTTTTATGCTATATATTGTGTACATATGTATATGTAGTTTATATAGAATCATGTATGTTACTGAATCGGCTTTATAATAATGGGTATATGAAGTACGGTACCATAGATAGTAATCAGGAGTTAAACAGCATTTGTGTATTTTTGAATGATCAACAGATTTTAATTTATCTTTTAATATTGTTAACATGTTGAAGGCATGTCCGTGTACAGGGGAAATGTAAGCTGAAAATGTAAAGGCTTTACAGTCTCCTTCAAGAAATACTACAAATTATAAACACATTTCCAGTGAAATATACTTCTCAAGTTTTAATATTATCTTTGCAAAAAAGTAGAAAAGGACATACTTGTAATTTTAATAATTTTCATCATGATCCTCTTTTTTCGCCACGTATAAAATATTCTATTAAAGGAGGTAATTTTCACATTGTCAGATTGACATGTATCACATATGGCTGTTCTAGCTTTATATGATATATAAGATGATAGCACACAATATTTTTATTGATTTCATTTCCAAAAAAATTACTCAATGTATGGTATATTTTAGATATTTTGGACCAATTGTCTCTGATTATTATAGTATTTGATGCCATCAGTTGAATAGTGACCTTATTCTTACATAGATTTAATCTCTCAGTAACCTAAATATTTTTCATGCAAGAAACTTTTACAGATATGAAACCTTTTTGTGAAAATATTAGTCACCCAAGTGGGTGGTGAAACCTCTCCTTTTTTGTTTAGCTTAGTTAGATTTATATGGCCAATTTTATCATGATATATAATAGTTATTAAAATTAGTAGTTTTTATTTTGCCTATTTACATTTCTGTAATTTAATACTTAAGAAATATGTAGTACAATGAATATCATTATTTAATTAATGTCTGTATTAAAATCAGTAAAAATAGGTTAATATTTAAAATTTCTGAATATTCATAAAATAATTGTGATATTTTTAAGTCAGTTTACAGTTTTAGTCTTTGTACTTAATTTTTGGGAATTCCTTACATATTTTATGTTGACATATCATGTGTTCTTTATTTATTAATCAGATAATTGTAAATTTATAATAAAGCTTAGGTAGATCCTGTTATTTCTGCTTGCCCATCGTGAGCAGTCCACTCCTGCCTAGTTAAATTCAATTTCATACTTTTTGTAAAAAGTTCAATTAAGAGCCTTCTAATTTCATTATTTCAATAGTGTCCAAAGTATGGTATGTTCAATTCTTTATTTAAAGAAAAGAAATGGCCCGTCAGCTTCATAGGATGGATACAATTGTCCATCTAGAAGTGTTGTCCAGTCTGTCCCCTCAATTGTATGGGGGAAGCAAGGTAGTGGAGTTAAAACAAATTTGCACACAATAACGCATTGAATTTCTAATTAAAGTTGTATGTGTTATGGTCTTGGGTCCTACATAGGAATTGAAAGGCTTTACTGATTGATAGAAATAACTGCATATATATTATCAACAGATAATAAAGAAAATGATTGTAACCAATTTAATGTAAATATGAATAAAAAGATATGTGGGAAACACATGCTAGCTCATTAGGCAGCAGCCAAACACAACCAAAAACACAAAAAGAAATTTTATACCAGTTTGCCAATTGGAATAGCATATGTTGCTGTCTCAGACGTTTATACCTATATTTGTTTGTTCCCCGCGTAATGCAATGCGGGGGACATGGAAATACTAGGCGTCCTTCCGGTCTTGTTAGCGCTCTCACGTCTACAATTCTTGCCAGATTTTTATGAATCTTATATCATAGATTTATATCAACAATGTCTTGAACGAGTTCGAAATTCAGTCCTGACAATTATTTTTAGAAGAGTTATGCCCCTTGGAAACATTAATTTTATGGAAAATTGCACAATGTGTACACTTCTTGTTTTTTTTTCATACTACATAAAATAATCTATATAAATTAAGAATTTTGAAAACTAATTATAGAATATACTTTCAGCTGTATAAATTCATTAGAAATGGTATTCACATGTATTGGCATTCATGTATATTGTTGAAGGCTGTGTGATGTTGTCTTTCACGACCTAATTTGTTTAAAACTTTGTTGTAGGGTTTCTGTCATCAAATTGACATTTAACCAAAATAGATATATATATTTTATGACATATTTGTGATATTTATTTAGAAGAACACTTGTAAATAAGATTTTATTTGTGAAAGACTGTTTTAAGATACATGTACATGCATAGCTGGCAAGTTTTGTTTGCTTGAAATGAAAGCTCTCATCTGAAATTTTATGTGAATTGAACTGATTTTAGATTATATGGTACAATTTAATTTCATGTGAAACTCAAGTTTATAAGAAAGATATTTTGTTAAGTTTTTTCTTTGTTTTTTTAGCCATTTGTTGTGTGTTTTAAACTTTTCTAAAACAAACTAAGAAGTTTAAGTGCTTGAAGAAAAATGTTGGGTAATAAGATAAAATTTTTAGATAAACACAACAAAATCATAATATACAAACAAATAATGGATATTTGTAAAAACTTCACTTGTTTGATTCAAAGTAAAAATTAGTTAGTATTCTTTTATACAAATTGTGCATGTAGAGTTATATTGAAATTGATAATTATTGTGGATAAATCATCAAATTATTAACATTTCCAAAAATAAAACTATGAAAAATATATAATTTGATTAACAGTAAGCCTTTTCATTATTCAATGCGCAAGTTTAAGAAATATGTCTGTATGGTATAAAAAAAAAACTATCATTCAAGAACATTAGGGTGGGAAAGAGTTAAGGAGTACAATAAGATGAAACATACATCTTTTTTTAATTAGAAAAATTTTCATTGTTAGAAATTTGCATTCTATTATAGATTAGTAAAGAAAAGAGTTGTTGGAAAGCAATGAGTTATTTGTGTATCAAAATTATCTCCCTTTGCTAGTTGTTAGATAAGATGTACTTAGTTTGTAAATAAGAAAACAAACATCTATTTTTATGTTTTCAGTATTTGAAATTAGCCATACTCAGTCTTATTTTAAATTAGTAGTGAACTGAGTGATAAGTTATATGTCATTGTAAATTTTATAGCTATTTGTGTAGATCTCTTGTCGTTGTTAAATTAAGGAACAAAAGTGCCAATGTTGTATAAATGTTGTACTCTGATGACGTACTAATAAAAATCTCTATAAAGAAAACTTTAAACTAGTTTTGTTTTAATTGCAGACTTGCTAACCATAGCTTTTGATACCTCAGTCAAAGATTAGACATACTATTGTATTCTAATGTCCGTCTGTCCATCCATTCATCTGTCCTTGTAAGATAGCTCAAATTGACTTTTACAAATTTTTATACAAGGGCAAAAAATTTGGCAGTCATATATTGATATCACGTCGTAGTTGTCCTAAGACATTTGGTTTCCGGACAATAACTTAAGTATAAGTAAATAGAAATCTATGAAATTGAGACACAAGGTTTATGACTACACAAGGTAGGTTGGGATTGATTTTGGGGGTTATCGTCCCAACAGTTAAGGAATTAGGGGCCCAAATAAGCATTTTTCTAGTTTCCAGACAATAAATTGTGGAATGGTGTATGGATCTCTCTGAAATTATACCACAAGTTTCCATACCACAAAGTGATGGTAAGAATTGGCTTTGGGGGGTTATGGCTCAAACCGTTTAGGAATTGGGGACAAAAACAGCGGAAAACAAGGGTTTCCTGGTTAATGGACAATACAACATTTCTTTATACATAGTTTGAAAGCCGTGTAAGGGAGGTAATTCAAATACAACATTGACAATATTGTGTTTGAATTACCCCCTTAAACTGCTTTTAAATTATGTATAAAGAAATGTTGTATTGTCTAGAGGTTATTAGCTGTCATTTTTTTTTTCAGAAGTTACTATTTTAAAAATGCTGATGAAGGTAATTTAATTTTAGCCATGATTATGTATGTCATTATCTATTTTAAGAATTTTATGATGTATTTAAATGGGTTATTATAGTTGCAAACTCCATTGGAAATTTGAATTGAGATTATGACCATATCTTGAGGGAAAGAATTTTTTTTTTGGAAAAGGAGTGGGTGATGGGTGGGGACATTTTGTTCTCAAGGTTTTAGAAATGAAAAAGAAAATTTCTTCAAATATCAATTTTTTTTTGGCCAAAAAAAAGGGGAGGTGGGTCAATTCGCAACAGCATAGTGTATTGCACAAAAGCAAAAAAATGAATATAAATTCAAATCTCATAACCAATTCTAGTTCTTTGACTACAGTTATTTCTGTGTCAGAAACCTATTATGTGTCAAATATTTAATTACAATCCAAATTAAGGCCTGTATCAAGTGCAAATATTGTGTCCATTTGTGCCCCCAACTGTTCAGGGTTGGACCTCTGCGGTCGTATCCAACTGCGCTCGGCAAAGCAATTTATCTTATAACTTTAACACACCATTAGAATTGACGGAAGAAAGCTCACTTTCAATATATTCATTATTGGCTTTTGTTTTTCCAGCGGCTGTAGAAAATTGACAAAAGGTATCAACGTTCCAACATTTTATT